GGTGGGGGGGGGGGCATTTTGTGAGTCGACACCCACCTCAGCCCCACCATGGTTGGAGCTGAGGTCAGAAAATTTGAGGAAATAGTACCTCTAGATGGCCAGAAATGACACTTTTAGTAAAATTCATCATTATCACATCACTATTAGCCAAAATGAAGCGGCAAAAAGAAAAATTCTCATGATCTTTTATCAGGGATTTTTGACAACCATAGAGATCTTATTAATGTGTGTGTGATATACTATAGAAAACAAAGCTTAAAAGCATTGTCTTTGAGTATGTACTTTACATAGGCCTACTTCAAAAGCGTGGTTTCACAACCACCTCAGCCCCACCATGGCTGGGGCTGAGGTGAGAACATTTGTGTAAATAGTACCTCTCGAGATGGCCGGAAATGACACTTCTATATAGTAAAATTCATCATCATCACATCACCATTATAGTCAAAATGAAATACCAACAAATTTTTCATGATCTTTTATCAAGGATTTACTTAATATCCAGGACAACTTAGACCTAACTAGATCAATTGCATTCAGCACAATTTTCTTCACCTTTTATTGCTATTAATATTATTATCAATTATTACTATCGTCCATAGTCGTGCACTCCCACAGTCAACAACACCGTGTACATTGGGACAAAGGCGAACTAATAGCCACTGTACCATCGTAGCTCTCCAGAAGGACCAGAGAAGCCATAGAAATCCACAAACACAATACTGTACATCAAGATATCGGATTTGTCATTAGTGATATTTGGCTGTCCATGTTTAATCGGACCTAGCTAAGCAGCCCCACCATTTTCCCGCCTTACTGAAACCATGCCTTTGGTTTTTGGTAGTTCCCATCCCCTTTTCCACCCTACTGGAACTATGCCTTTGTTTTTGATCATTCTCATTCCCTTTCCCGCCACTCTGGAACTATGCCTTTGTTTTGGTCGTTCCCACCCTTTTCTCACCACTGGAACCATGCCTTTGTTTGGGCGTTTTAGCCTTCCACTAGCAGTCTTCTCATTGGTCAGTTTATCTATCCATTCGCCAACCAGCCTCTCTACCCAAACATGTATTTCTCTGTTTGGAATTTCTGCAGATATTATTTCTCCTGAAGACGAAATTTAGTTATCGTGGTAACAAACAAATGACCAACGACAAGATGACGAAGAACATAGGTAAAAACAGTGGTCTCCCCTGAGCATCGCTCCTATGGGAGGGTAATTATCAAAATCAAATTTGAATGTTATCATTGGCTATGATAATATCTAAGCTGCGACCTATAAGCTTTCCAAGCTTAGTCACAGCTCTACTATACTATGTGTGAGCGTTTCAAGCAGTTGAATGAGAGAAGGTGCCCGAAGGTTAGATCTGCGAGAATATCGATAGGTGTCCGCTGTCTAAATGTAGGATAATTGCCTTGATATCGAGAGGTTGCAGGTTCAAATCTCGCCAGATACTCTATCTTTTCATACAATTGAAATAACGGAACTGTCTGTTGAAGGGCTATGATTGATACTATTATAAGATCATGTTCCTATTTAAGCGCTGTTGTTATTATTCATCTATTTGTTTATATTTATAGGTATAACCATAGCATGGTAAAAGAGGTTGTCGTTATTGTAAAACTGTACACTTACATATATATATCGTAAAAACTGGTTGCCAAATGGAAAGCCGAATGAAAGGATAAATTCGGGAGACACATATTCTCCTGATATCTGTTTGGAAGACTGACGAAGCGATGTATCTCCCTCACTGATTCCAAATGAAAAATAAAGTATCACTGAAAAAAAAAACCATATAATTTAATTTTAATACTGTATCATTATTTCAGGTCCTCACAATGATATAAATAAAATAATAATTATTATAAAAATAATATAAATATTCAAAGCACATTTAAAAGAGATAGATTTTTATGAGATTTTGAAGAGAAAATTTTTAAGGTGATCGCTAAAAATAAAGATGTACCTAATTAAGATAGATATTTTTCTTAATATGTAAATTATATTGTTTTTTTTTTAATATAGACGTTCAATATCTATAATACAAAGGCCACTTATTATGTAGGCCAACATTGCCGGAAGAAATCTATATCATTTCTCGGTAATGTAGGCCTATTAAACAACCAAAACAAATAGTGAAAAACGTACTTCGACAAAATATACCGTCGCCTTCAAAGCCTTCGATGCAGGTACAATTAAATGATCCATGTGTGTTAGTACAGGTGGCATTAACTGAACAAGTACTTGTTTTGGATTCACATTCGTCAAAATCTGGAGAGTTAAGGAAACATAACTGGAAGCAGGTGCAACAATTGTAGTCTGACAAATTATGTAGGTGCGGTAAATATTGAGTATTGTTTGATAAACTGTGTACGTTATTTACAAATTGACAATCTTAAATTTGGCCTACATTTTATTACTATACTTCGTTTTGGTGCATATTGTCACTGTACGTACACCTTGATTAAATAAATGAAAGCTCTGAGTTTCTACCTGTGCAATATGTTCCGTTACCCTCGAACCCTGTGTTGCACGTGCATACAAAAGACCCAATAGTATCATCACAACTAGCATCTGAATCACAATTGTGTTGCCCTGCTGTACACTCATCAATATCTATAAAATAATAAATTAAAAAAATACCAGTAAAAAACGTAAAATTTAAACAATGATCTTGGCTATAATAATATTTTTTAAAATGTGGGCCCATAGACAGGGTACATAGAGGAAAGCACTTTAAATTCAGGCTCTGCAGGAAAATAAGTGATATGTTGTAGAACTGAATTCTTTCAGACAGAAAAAAAAGTTGTTTGACAAATAAAAATTGGGAACAGTAAGTTAATGAGATTCAATTTTTTTAACATTTAAAAATTGGGAGAAAAGGGGCGTAAGCAGACCTTTTTTCTATATTTTTCTTCCAGTTTTTTAATATTCAAAAATCTGTATCTCATTAACCGTTTCTGAGTTTTTCGTCCAATTAATATTCTTTGTGTCTAAAAAAAAAAATCAGTTTTGCAACACATCAAAAAATTATTTTCCTCTTGAGCCTGACTTTATATAAGTTGGAGTAACATTAGTATCATCACAATAGGGCATGTGTTGATGGTTGCGTTAATTGTATAACCGTCCTCGTAGTTTTAACATGTTCATTAGTATTTTACATATAAGCCTATTCTTAATTATGATATATTTAAGAATATGTGTACGTAACCTACATTGCCTACATATAAGGTCTGTCGATATTTGCAATCCAGGCCTATACTTTAAATGCAAATATGCTTTACCTCAACCATATACCATATTATATACATATACATTTACATATAAGTATACATTTACACCCCCCTCTCTCTCTCTCTCTCTCTCTATATATATATATATATATACATTATATATATATGATATATACACACACATATTATATATATACATACATATATATATATATATATATATATATATATATATATAATCTCAATTTTTTGTGAAACAGTGCTCAATCCCACTGAAAAATCTATCTCTTATACACATCTAGATGTGTATAAGAGACAGATTATGCACACATATTATATATATATATATACACACATACATACATACATACATATATATATATAATATCACTGTTAAACCTTCGATAAATAACTGCTAAGCAAATACAGAAACGTAAAGAATACAAGTCTCAAATACTACTAAGATGATTTATCTCTTATTAACTGTCTGTTATATCTGAGAAATAGACTTACCAATACAACGTTTGTCAAATTCACCAACGAACTGACCATCTTGGCAAGTAAATACTGTTGGTTCCTCAGGGTCTAACTCGTATCCTACATTGCAAATGACAGATACAGTATCACCGTGACCAATGGAATCAGACCCAATCCATAGTCCATTTTCAAGCGGTGCTGGTTTTGAACACCAGGCTAAAATTAAATAAATAAAATAAAACGTATAACTCAATAGCCAACTTCTATGGTTTTTAAAAAAAATTTCAATTATCAGCGACGATACACAACTACGTTGTTATAATAAAGAGTAAATTGATGACATTGTTAATTTGCTTTATTTTACTAGTGCTACTATAGCTAGCAAAAGCTTGTGTTTCAATTAATACTGTTAGTCAAAAGAAGGTGCTACTGTATTGTTTTAGGCTTTGATTGTTTTTTGTACCGTAAGCAAAAACGATGAATACAAAAATGATATTCTTTAAATGTAAAAAAAAAAAGAAGATCCAAGCCACCTACAATAACAATGCGGAGTTGTGCCTTGAAATGTACCACTTTGGCATATTTGCGTGCTGTTTCCAACTAATGTATATCCATTGTTGCAAATGAACGAAATCGATTGGCCCTCGAGGTACCTTTTACGGTGCGGTAACGGACTGGTCTGTTCACCATTTCGCAACTTGTCAGGCGATAAACAGCTTCCTATTACAATCAATTGAAAATTCATATTACGATGTTGTTTGTGTCAGGAAATTTAATCAAAATGATGTTTGGCCCTATCTGACGTGTTACTGTAATGAATGCTCAGTTACGTATCTAAATACTTAATTAAGAAAAAATCTCACAAGTCATCATCCCAAATAATAGTAAGTAGGTAGGTAATAGAAACAATTGATATTAACAAACAACAAAGGGTTATGAGATTGACCTTGGATGCGGGCGTGCTCAGTTCAAACTACGAACTGGATTGGAATTGTCCTTTGTGCTAAATATTGTGAGCCCAACTAACAATTCAACGTTATAAAAACGTTAAATTAACGTTACAGTTTGGTGCATGTATTGTTTTTTTTTTGTAGAACGATAAATACGTATTTATAATGTAACTTTACGCAACTAAATAACGTTGCAAAGGGTTGATCAGGTATAGAGGTTTTAGGGTATTCGGTTTTAGTTGCTTTACTACGGCATGTTGCGTCATTATTATAATTATGGAGTGTTTAATTGTTCTCCGACATTGTTCATTACAAAGATATATTCAGACACGTTTTCATTGAGACAATTTTAATTACTGTCTTAGATTATTTGAAATATGATGTTATTGGCTGCCGGTTGTGGTACTTTACCAACAAATCCAAGGGGTGGGGATTAGTGGAAATATCCATTTAGCACAGACCAAAATATGAGTAAGCACTGAAGGCCGCCGCCATATCAGACAGCAACGCACACAATGCAGCCCGACGCGATTTGTTGACGGTAGCGTTGGATGTTGACCTGCGTCAGGGAAAGTCGCGTCGTAGAATATTAAAAATGTTTAATACACTCACAACGACCTAAATAGGCTAAATGATAGATCAAGTCGGGCTATATGGGACGACACTATCTGGTTTCCTTCTCTATTATAAAATAATAAAAATGTAATAGATGATAAGTACCGTCGCACAATGAGCTGTCTTCATCGAAGTTGCTGTATATACAATCGAAGGTGAATTCATCGCAAAACGAATCATAATTGATACAAAAAGTATTATTACATCGCAATTCAGATTCAGTGCAAGGTTCTAAAAACAAAGATTTTAAAACAATCCTTAAAGTTTGTAATAGTATCGCAAAAACAACATAGAGATTACATAATAAGGTGACATTATCATTATTATGATTTATTATATAAGTATATGCATAATATATAACTATAAGTAAATCAATAGAGAAATACGATTAGATGAAATAACAAATTATAAAAACACTGACATAAGCTTGAAAAAAAAAAAACTGGAATGCATATATACCTGCATCATTTAGGTAGCGGAGGGGTATTCAGGTATTAGTCTAAGGAGTCGTCCACAATTATCAACATTTTAACAAGTGTACAAACAGTACGCTAGCGAGGAGGGGTAGAAAAATTTGTGCACTTTTACATATGCATAAAAAATATTGCTCAAAATAACATGCATTATTTAAAATGATAGATTTTTATGACCAATTATAATGCAACCATGAATATAATATATATATATATATATATATTTTAAGTAACCAAGTACAGTATAAGATAGTATATTACATACTAAGTATTGAAATGCACGGCATCGTGTCGGGATTCAATATTTCGACATTAATTATGTCATCATCAAGTACAGTACTTTAGTTGACTTCACAAAAAAAATGGAGAATGGTTTTGCAAAATCAACATTTTGTATTTATACTTTCAAAGGGGAGGGGGTGGGTTAAAAAGGGTACTGATTTTACACTTGTGAAAATGTTAATAATTGTGTACGACCCCTTAACATTTTAAACAGCATGTTTTTCTGCTCTTTCACCATTTCGACAAAATAACGGAAACAGCGACATTTAGGATTATTACGCAGATTTTACATTATAAGTGACACAATTGACCTTCCATATAAAAGGTATTAAGTATCATGTTAATACCTAAACATCTATCTGTTTAGGTATTAGAGGCATGAAACGACACCCTCGCTTTACCCCCAACTCTGCGGCCAAATAGATCAGTACCTCCAAGTGTGATATGAGTCGTTACCAAATGACCTTTGATTGATTTTGATCTTATTATAATATTATATATATATATATATATATATAAAAACATATATTGCCTTGGTTTGGCTCTGTAATCATTAGTGGTAGTGGGACTGGTTTGGGCCCTTCCTAAGCTGGTCAAACGTTTCTTTTGGGTCTATACCCCAGCTGCACTGATGAGTCCTGGAAGGCCGAATCGGATCCGTCTGCAGATATTGGGATTCCTTCCAGTGGATACTTAGTTGTTTATTTTGTCATTCTGATCGGATTTTCTCTACTGTTCCGTTTTAATTATATATATATATATATATATATATATATATATATATATATATA